AGAGGGGGCCGGCCACCTCTACTGGTCCTAATAGGACTAGGGAAGGGGGAGGCGCACGGCCACCTTGGGCTGCCCCTTTCTCCTTTCCACTAAAGCCCACTAAGGCCCATATAGCTCCCGGGGGGTTCCGGTAACCTCCCGGTACTCCGGTAAAATACCGATTTCACCCGGAACACTTCCGATATCCAAACATAGGCTTCCAATATATCAATCTTTATGTCTCGACCATTTCGAGACTCCTCGTCATGTCCGTGATCACATCCGGGACTCCGAACTAACTTCGGTACATCAAAATGCATAAACTCATAATAACTGTCATCGTAACGTTAAGCGTGCGGACCCTACGGTTCGAGAACAATGTAGACATGACCGAGACACGTCTCCGGTCAATAACCAATAGCGGGACCTGGATGCCCATATTGGCTCCTACATATTCTACGAAGATCTTTATCGGTCAGGCCGCATAACAACATACGTTGTTCCCTTTGTCATCGGTATGTTACTTGCCCGAGATTCGATCGTCGGTATCCAATACCTAGTTCAATCTCGTTACCGGCAAGTCTCTTTACTCGTTCTGTAATACATCATCTCGCAACTAACTCATTGGCTGCAATGCTTGCAAGGCTTATGTGATGCGCATTACCGAGAGGGCCCAGAGATACCTCTCCGACAATCGGAGTGACAAATCCTAATCTCGAAATACACCAACCCAACATCCACCTTTGGAGACACCTGTAGAGCTCCTTTATAATCACCCAGTTACGTTGTGACGTTTGGTAGCACACAAAGTGTTCCTCCGATAAACGGGAGTTGCATAATCTCATAGTCATAGGAACATGTATAAGTCATGAAGAAAGCAATAGCAACATACTAAACGATCGGGTGCTAAGCTAATGAAATGGGTCATGTCAATCAGATCATTCAACTAATGATGTGACCTCGTTAATCAAATAACAACACCTTGTTCATGGTTAGGAAACATAACCATCTTTGATTAATGAGTTAGTCAAGTAGAGGCATACTAGTGACACTAAGTTTGCCTATGTATTCACACATGTATTATGTTTCCGGTTAATACAACTCTAGCATGAATAATAAACATTTATCATGATATAAGGAAATAAATAATAACTTTATTATTGCCTCTAGGGCATATTTCCTTCAAGACAATCCTGAGGTAATAACACATCACAGATCTATTAGTCTCTGTAATTAGGTTTACAAAATGATTTCAAAGATGATTGCTAACAGACTGAAGAGAATTCTCCTAGAAATTATTTCTCATACATAGAATGCATTCGTACCTGGAAGACTTATTACTGATATGTACTGGTGGCATATGAGTGTTTCCACACTATAAAAAACAAAACACATGGGTCTTCTAGTTTCTGTGCAGTAAAGCTGGACATGAATAAAGCTTATGACAGAGTTGGATGGATTTTTTTGGAAAGGATGATGTTGAAGTTGGGATTTCATGAGGAATTGGTCCAGCTAATAATGGAGTGTGTATCTTCTGTCAGCTACAGGGTCCGCTTCAATGATACCGAGACAGATGAGTTTACACCCACCAAGGGTCTTCGGCAGGGGGATCCTCTTTCACCGTACCTTTTTTTGTTATGCTCGGAAGGACTATCTAGTATGCTTGCTTATGAGGAAGAAATTGGGAATCTGGAAGGTATTGAAGTGTGTAGGAATGCCCCTACTATTTCAATCTTCTTTTTGCAGATGATTCCCTAATACCGATGAAAGCAAACATGCAATGTGCAAACACGTTGAAGAGGATCTTGGATGCCTATTGCAGGAGTTCAGGTCAGATGGTGGGTAATCCCAAACCTAGCATTTTCTTTAGCCCTAATACTACGGTTGGTGCAAGAGAAGAGGTATGCGGGGAACTAAACATTGTCACGGAGGCCCTGTCAGATAAATATTTGGGGCTCCCTACTATGGTGGGGGTTGAAATAAGCGATTGTTTCCGGCATCTTATTGACCGGGTATGCCAGCGCCTCAAATGTTGGAAGGTGAAAGTTCTGTCTTTGCAGGGCAAGGAAAATTTATTAAAATCGGTAGCCCAAGCAATACCATCTTATGCAATGCCCGTATTCAAACTGCCTAAAGGAATTTACAAAACAATCACTGATGAGTTGGATGGATTTTGGTGGGGTGACAATGAGGACAAGAAGAAGATGCATTAGTTCGCATGGTGGAAATTATGCGTACCGAAGAAGAAAGGGGAATTGGGATTTAGAGACCTTCACAGTTTTAACCTTGCTATGTTAGCAAAACAGTGTTGGCGACTGGTCCAGAACCCTGACTCCTTATGTGCACGCGTTTTGAGTGAAAAGTATTATCTAGACGGCAACATTTTGAAGGCAGGACCGAAGAAGTGTTCATCATACACTTGGCAAAGTATTGTCGTGGGCATCCAAGCGTTCCAAAGGGGTTGTATTTGGCGTGTTGGGTCGGGGTCACAAATTAATATTTGAAGAGATCCTTGGATACCAGAAAGTCCTTCACAAAGGTAATCACCCCGAGAGGTGCATCGATGCTCGCTTAGGTTGAGGAGCTTATTAATCTGCATGATGGGCAGTGAGATGAAGTGTTGATTAGAGATATATTGTCCCCGGCGGATACCAATAGGTTTCTTCAGATTCCGTTAAATGTTCAGCTTGTGGAAGACTTTGTTTCTTGGTACTATGCACGGTCGGGGACGTTCTCAGTCTGATCAGCCTATCACAGAGAATTTGAACATCAGTTCAGGCAGCGACTTGTGCGATCAGACGGACAGGGGAATATAAACGCTAATACAATATGGAAAGAGATTTGGAACCTCAAAATTCCAAGGAAGATCAAACATTTTGCATGGAAGGCACTAAATGGTTCACTTCCTTGCTACGGAATTCTTGCAAATAGACACATACCACTCATCCCTTAATGCCCGTTCTGTACGACCGGTATTGAGGATATCCAGCATTGTCTGTTTACCTGTAAGAGAGCAATGGTGGTTTGGTCAGAGCTAGGGGTGAAGGACAGGGTAGAGGAAGTAGTACGACAAGATCACTCGGGGCCTATAACTGTCAATCTTGTGCCGGACGAATGCAGTCATTGACAGGCTGACTGCTGCAAAACATATGATGGTAGCCGCCTGGTACCTATGGTGGCAACGACATTAGCATGTTAAAAGCGAACCAATCCAGACCCTTGACAGAGCCGCAATCTCTATTAAGGTTTTGGCAACGAACTATACCCGGGCTTATACGGCTGGACAACCAATGAGGATCCATGATCATATGTGGAAGAAACCGACTAGTGATGTGGTTAAAATGAACGTCGACGCGGCGTTCCAAGCTGTAACTTTATCGGGTGCAACTGGCGCTATTGCTTGGGATGGGAGAGGGAATTTTATTGCGGCTGCAACATGGTTTGTTCCTCATGTGGTCGGTGTTGATTCTGCGGAGATGATAGCAATTCGGAATGGACTATATCTAGCAGAGAGGATCGGTTGCAACAAAGTGACCATCGAGTCTGATAGTAGCTTTGTGGTGGAAGTGGTTCAACAATCGACACATATGTTGGTTCAGACACATATGTTGGAGGTTTTTTCCCAACATGGGTGGCAGCATAACCTCCGGATCGATCCACCGCCGAGTTCGACATAGGCAAAGTGTCAGTCCATAGGACTCTACTGTTGCCGTATTGTCGGTTTTCTTACCTTTTCTAGTGTCAGACTTTGATGTTTGACTGTGTGCATTCTAGTTATGCAGAGGCCGGGTGTTACTCATAATGTTTTGTATCCGCTTGATGCTACATTTGAGATAATAAAATTTCTCTGTTTTGGGAATCTATAATCCCTGATTTTATTTCTCATTCACTTGTAGACGATATGTCCATTATATAAGAAATAAAATCAGTTGCTTTAAAAAAAAGTAGCTAGGGTTCTAGAGCTAGTTACAGTAGTTGAAGAAAAAGATGATGCCCGATCCACGGAATGTGCAGGAAATGACCCACGGCAGTTAAGTGAAGCGCAGTGAACAAGTTTTTTTTTTTTTTGCGAAACAAGATTCAGTTTTTAACTGTTATAAATTTGTCGGACGGTAAATAGGGGAGCTGAGCGTCGACGTGAGCCGTTGGTTGATCTGGCGAGCTTCAATCGTAGCCGTCCATCGTATCGTTCTCTTCGTGCGTCGTTTCTTCAGTCCGTGTCTCGCTGTCGATTTCTTCAGTTATCTTCAGGTTCAGATTAGCAGGATCCTGAGCCTGACACCGAGTCTTCCTCGATCGACCGTCTCCTACCTGGACTGGACTCTCGTTCACTTCCCTTTCGTCTCGGACTTGTTTCAGCGACTCCGATTGAGAACTCCGACACCAACCCCCTACTCCAGGAACAGGGAGGAAGAACCTATAAAGGTCAGCCTCAACTTCCTCCTCACATCGCACCACGAGACCAAGGATCCAAGGATCGTTTACCCACTTTCCCAAGGAAAACAACTGAAACGAATCGAGACAATCCCGCTTGCCATGGCGAGCCAGGGCGACGCGAGCGGGAAGAAGGACTACTCCACGGCGATCCTGGAGAGGAAGAAGTCGCCGAACCGGCTGGTGGTCGACGAGGCGACCAACGACGAGAACTCCACCATCGCCCTGCACCCGGACACCATGGACAGCCTCGAGCTCTTCCACGGCGACATCGTCCTGCTCAAGGGCAAGAAGCGGAAGTACACGGTCTGCATTCTGCTCCCAGACGACACGTGCGACAAGACCAAGGTCCGGATGAACAAGGTCGTCAGGAAGAACCTGAGGGTCCGGCTCGGCGACGTCGTCTCCGTCCATTAGTGCCCGGACGTCAAGTACGGGAAGCGCATGCACGTACTCCCCGTCGACGACACCGTCCAAGGGATCGCCGGAAACCTGTTCGACGCCTTCCTGAGACCCTACTTCCTCGAGGCCTATCGTCCCCTCAGGAAAGGGGACCTATTCCTGGTGAGGGGCGGCATGACGAGCGTGGAGTTCAAGGTTGTGGAGACCGACCCTGCCGAGTACTGCATCGTCGCCTCTGACACGGAGATATTCTGTGACGGCGAGCCTGTCAAGCGGGAGGATGAGGAGAGGCTCGACGAGGTCGGCTACGACGATGTCGGCGGAGTCAGGAAGCAGATGGCCCAGATCAGGGAGCTGGTCGAGCTCCCACTGCGCCACCCTCAGCTGTTCAAATGCATCGGTGTGAAGCCTCCAAAGGGCATCTTGCTGTATGGGCCACCTGGGACCGGCAAGACCCTCATTGCCAGAGCGGTGGCTAATGAAACAGGTGCCTTCTTCTTCCTGATCAATGGTCCGGAGATCATGTCGAAGATGGCCGGAGAGAGCGAGAGCAACCTCAGGAAGGCGTTTGAAGAGGCCGAGAAGAATGCGCCGGCCATCATCTTCATCGATGAGATTGATTCCATAGCACCAAAGAGAGACAAGACCAACGGAGAAGTCGAAAGGCGGATCGTCTCGCAGCTGCTCACTCTCATGGACGGGCTCAAGTCCCGCGTACATGTTATTGTCATGGGTGCTACCAACTGCCCGAACAGCATCGACCCTGCTCTCAGAAGGTTTGGGAGGTTTGACCGGGAGATCGACATTGGAGTCCCCGATGAAGTTGGGCGGCTTGAGGTTCTCCGGATTCACACCAAAAACATGAAGCTAGCTGAAGATGTTGAGCTGGAGCATGTCTCGAGGGACACTCATGGGTATGTCGGCGCTGATCTCGCCGCCCTATGTACCGAGGCTGCTCTTCAGTGCATTCGCGAGAAGATGGATGTTATCGACCTCGAGGATGACACCATTGATGCTGAGATACTGAATTCTATGGCTGTCACCAACGACCACTTCAAGATTGCACTGGGGACAAGCAACCCTTCCGCCCTTCGTGAAACTGTAGTGGAAGTTCCAAATGTCTCTTGGGAAGATGTTGGCGGTCTGGAGGGTGTCAAAAGGGAGCTGCAGGAGACCGTCCAGTATCCGGTGGAGTACCCAGAGAAGTTTGAGAAGTTTGGCATGTCTCCCTCCAAAGGTGTTCTGTTCTATGGCCCTCCGGGCTGCGGCAAGACCTTGTTGGCCAAGGCGATTGCTAACGAGTGCCAGGCTAACTTCATCAGCATCAAAGGACCGGAGCTGCTTACCATGTGGTTTGGCGAGAGCGAGGCCAATGTGCGTGAGATTTTCGATAAGGCAAGGCAGTCGGCACCATGTGTCCTCTTTTTCGATGAGCTCGACTCGATTGCCACCCAGAGAGGAAACAGTGTCGGTGACGCCGGAGGTGCCGCTGATAGGGTGCTGAATCAGCTTCTTACCGAGATGGACGGAATGAATGCCAAGAAAACCGTGTTCATCATCGGTGCCACCAACAGGCCAGACATCATAGATCCTGCCTTGCTGAGGCCGGGGCGCCTTGATCAGCTTATCTACATTCCTCTGCCTGACGTTGAATCCAGACTCCAGATCTTCAGGGCCTGCCTCAGGAAGTCTCCTGTGGCCAAGGACGTCGACCTGAATGCACTCGCTAAATACACGCAAGGGTTCAGCGGCGCAGACATCACGGAAATCTGCCAGCGTGCGTGCAAATACGCCATCAGAGAGAACATTGAGAAGGACATGGAAAAGGAGAGGCGGCTGAAGGAAAACCCTGAAGCCATGGAGGAAGACGAGGTGGACGAGATCAAGGCTGCTCACTTCGAGGAGAGCATGAGGTATGCACGCCGGAGTGTGAGCGATGCTGATATTCGCAAATACCAGGCCTTTGCTCAGACGCTGCAGCAGTCCCGTGGTTTTGGCACCGAGTTCCGGTTCGCTGATCAGCCGGCGGCAGGAACTACCTCTGCGACAGATCCTTTCGCATCCTCTACCACAGCAGCTGAAGAAGATGATCTGTATAGTTAAATTGTCTGTTGTGCCATGAACTTACTGTATTATATTATGCATCTGTAAGACATATAGGAAGATTATATAAGATACCCTTTCAATCAAAAATATTGGATTGTTCTGATATCTTGTTTGATGCATTGGGAAAGTAGGATGTAGAATTAGTTGGTCCTGAATGCATGAGAATACCCTCTTTAAGTAACTTTAAGAGTGGTGCAAACTTTTAATGAGGGTGTACCAAAGCAAAACTCTGATATTTGTATGTGCAGTGTTGTGATATACTTATATATATACTGAAGTTTGAAGATTGTATCCTCCACGTAAAAGAAAGAAAAAACATTTCCTCGTCTCCTATTCCAGTTACAATTCTCTTGTTCTCTAGAGGCTCCATCAAGGGCATTAGCAATTTAGCGTTATATGTGATGATATTTTTCTTTCTTGTAAATGTACTAGTTCAAAAATCTTCTGTTATACCGCACCTCTTTTTTCCGCAAAAATGATTAAACCTCTACTGAGAAATGCCGCAGCCTCTCCAGAATGTTGACAAATTAGTTTAGTAGTAGCTGAAAGTTTCTGCAATGCACCAAAACAATTTTTTGGATTCTCCAGCATAACTGAAATAATTTGCAAGGTAATAGATTATTCATGTTGATGTTGAATAGTTATTCACTGCAAGGGCTACCTTTGACATCCGCTGTCGCGGCAGCTGAAGACAATACAATTTATATAGTTGAATTGTCTATTGTGCCATAAACTTACTCCTAAGAAGAGATACAAACCTTTGATGTTCTCCATGTAGTACCTTTGCTGCCCGCCTGCTCCACGGGCTGTGTTGACTAGCACCACCCTAAGCACCTTGCATTTGAATAAAGTACCTTCAGAAGTTGAGAATTTCCTCTGGCTAGTATCTCATAACAAAATGATGACCATGGACAACCTGAAAAGGGGAAAGATGAATAAAGGAGAGGATCGTGTCTTTTGCTCACAAACTGAAACTGTGCATTCATCACCTGCTTCTTTGATTGCTTAGTTGTTGTTCTTAAAAAAGGATTGTGTAGTTACTAAGAATATCTATGGCTGCATGCATCTTCATGATGCAGAGGCCGGGGCCTTGTCTCCATTTCCAAAAAAAGTTACTAAGAATATCTGGGAAATTACCCTTTTCTGGCTCCACATTGGGCACTGATTATGAATATGTGGCTAATTTTTGGGTTTCTGTTAAAAAAGCACTCTACTCTTGCTCAAGTAAAGATAAGGAACCCGCCAGAGGATTTCTTCGGTTTCGGCAGGGAAGCCATTGGTTCATATTATGCTATGATTGAGGGACCTTCTCGGTTCAAAGCTAACAAATACTCCCTCTGTCCGGAATTACTTGTCGCTCAAACGGACGTAGAGAAAGGTCTCATTTGGCATTCAATCGCTAAGAGCAGCCACAAATTTAACTTGCAGTGCAGTTTGTGCCTGTGCTCTTTGGTGCACCTGGAAAATTAGAAACACCCTCGTCCATATAATAAGCAACCAGCATATTGATAATATCAGAGACAATTCAAATAAATAGGATCACAAGTTCACAGCAGCTTCTCACACTAACCCAATCGATTTATTTCTTTGTTCTTTCCTTCAAGGTAAATGAAACATGGTAATGGAATGAATCGTTGCGTGGTAATCATATCAATGTTAAACACCAGTGCCAACTGGCACCAAAAACAACTTTGGACATTCGACGAGTTCTTGGTAAGTGCCATCATGCCCACACGCTTGAATGATAAATTTAAGGCTGGTGACTTCAGCGGGAACCTGGAGGTCTGACACATACAAGGCAACACCAAGAAAGCTTCAGGAAGCCTCGGCATTTGAATCAGCAAGCAACTTCTCCACATATATGTTATATTTCATGAATGATGCTTGATGGCTGGTATTCAGCTTCCAGTTAATTTTCAGATTCAGAAGCTTAGACGTGTTGGAATTGCTTGACCAAGAGATGTACTTGCCTTCTGTCACCCATGATTCTGCTGAAGGGAACCGTGTGTCTTCGTCTATGTTCCGGATGGTTATGTGGCCCAGTGATTCATGGTAAGGCGACGATTTATCTACATTTTCTTCTGGGCTATCTCCCTCTGCTTGTGAATTGATTTTGCCAGTGGTTTTCAGTGTGCAGACAATGTTGATTCCAGTTAATGCGTGGCTGGCACTGGACTGGACAGTTGCTCGGTAGAGGACCCAGTTTTGGTTATCAGATTGAACATATGAGCTGTACAAGCGATGATATTTCTTTCTACTGAATGTCGCTATGTCCTCTGCAATGAGAATGGAGGTATTCCCCTTGTTTCTGGATGACGAGTCCAAGGACAATCCTATGTCACAGTTTGCATCAGCTTTGACCTGAATCAATCATCAGGAAGGAACTATAACATTTTGCTGAGAAGAATAAGGCTTATAGAAAAAGCAGAACAGTAAGGTAAGGGTGTGATACTGTACATACTTTCTCCTGCTCCCCCGCGTCGCTACCGCATCGGGCAGCTCGGCCGGGCTGCTACCCTAGCCGCCGCCGAGCCCCGATCTACTCCCTCCTCTCCTCCCGTCGCCACTGTGTGACGCCGTCGGGCTAAGCCTGGGGGCAAATGGCGGTGACGGGGGTCTTTCCTTCTCTCCCAAGGCTTGGGGTGGGCCAGGTCCCCCGGCTTGTGGAGGCACGGCTGGTCGGGTCCTGCGGCGCAGCGATGGCGGCCAGCTTTGCGTATGGTCGGATCTTGGATTGTCAGCGGCGGCATGGAGGGCCTGGTGGATGGATCGGCTGTACATGTGGTCTGGCATTCGGTCAGAACTGGTCTACGCGGTGCGGCCTACTCCATGCGCGGCAGCGGTAATCGATGGCGGTCCCGTGGACACGAGGCTGGATGGAGGTTCCTCAAGTGGATCCGGGTGAAAACCCTAATCTTGGGGTGTTGCCAAGGCTGGCGATGGTGCCATTTTCTGCATCGTCCCCTTCCTGAAGGTACCGTCGTGGAGAAGCTCTAGACCCCTATCCGCCACCTCCGGGGGATGAAGAAAATATGCCCTAGAGGCAATAATAAAGTTATTATTTATTTCCTTATATCATGATAAATGTTTATTATTCATGCTAGAATTGTATCAACTGGAAACATAATACATGTGTGAATACATAGACAAACAGAGTGTCACTAGTATGCCTCTACTTGACTAGCTCGTTAATCAAAGATGCTTATGTTTCCTAACCATGAACAAAGAGTTGTTATTTGATTAACAGGATCACATCATTAGGTGAATGATCTGATTGACATGACCCATTCCATTAGCTTAGCACCCGATCGTTTAGTATGTTGCTATTGCTTTCTTCATGACTTATACATGTTCCTATGACTATGAGATTATGCAACTCCCGTTTATCGGAGGAACACTTTGTGTGCTACCAAACGTCACAACGTAAATGGGTGATTATAAAGGAGCTCTACAGGTGTCTCCAAAGGTACATGTTGGGTTAGCGTATTTCGAGATTAGGATTTGTCACTCCGATTGTCGGAGAGGTATCTCTGGGCCCTCTCGGTAATACACATCACATAAGCCTTGCAAGCATTGCAACTAATGAGTTAGTTGTGAGATGATGTATTACGGAACGAGTAAAGAGACTTGCCGGTAACGAGATTGAACTAGGTATGGGATACCGACGATCGAATCTCGGGCAAGTAACATACCGATGACAAAGGAAACAATGTATGTTGTTATGCGGTCTGACCGATAAAAGATCTTCGTAGAATATGTAGGAGCCAATATGAGCATCCAGGTTCCGCTATTGGTTATTGACCGGAGACGTGTCTCGGTCATGTCTACATTGTTCTCGAACCCGTAGGGTCCGCACGCTTAAGGTTTCGATGACAGTTATATTATTAGTTTATGAGTTTTGATGTACCGAAGTTAGTTCGGAGTCCCGGATGTGATCACGGACATAACGAGGAGTCTCGAAATGGTCGAGACATAAAGATTGATATATTGGATGGCTATATTCGGACACCAGAAGTGTTCCGGAGAAGTTTCGGATAAAACCGGAGCAACGGGGGGTTACCGGAACCCCCCGGGGGGTTAATGGACCTCATGGGCCTAAAGTGGAGAAGAGGAGGGGCTGCCAGGGCAGGCCGCGCGCCCCCTCTCCTCCTAGTCTGAATTGGACAAGGAGGGAGGGGCGGCGCCCCCCCTTTTCCTTCTCTCCTTCCCCCTCTCCTACTTGGACAAGGAAAGGGAGGGGAGTCCTACTCCCGGTAGGAGTAGGACTCCTCCTGCGCGCCTCCTACTAGGGCCGGCCGCACCCCCCCCCTTGGATCCTTTATATACGGAGGCAAGGGGCACCCCTAGACACACAAGTTGATCCACGTGATCATATTCTTAGCCGTGTGCGGTGCCCCCTTCCACCATAGTCCTCGATAATATTGTAGCAGTGCTTAGGCGAAGCCCTGCGACGGTAGTGCATCAAGATCGTCACCACGCCGTCGTGCTGACGGAACTCTTCCCCGACACTTTGCTTGATCGAAGTCCGGGGATCGTCATCGAGCTGAACGTGTGCTAGAACTCGGAGGTGTCGTAGTTTCGGTGCTTGATCGGTCGGGCCGTGGAGACGTACGACTACATCAACCAAGTTAACGCTTCCGTTGTCGATCTACAAGGGTACGTAGATCACACTCTCCCCCTCTCGTTGCTATGCATCACCATGATCTTGCGTGTGCGTAGGATTTTTTTTGAAATTACTACGAAACCCAATAGTGGCATCCGAGCCTAGGTTTTATATGTTGATGTTATATGCACGAGTAGAACACAAGTGAGTTGTGGGCGATATAAGTCATACTGCTTACCAGCATGTCATACTTTGGTTCGGCGGTATTGTTGGACGAAGTGGCCCGGACAGACATTACGCGTACGCTTACGCGAGACCGGTTCTCCCGACGTGCTTTGCACATAGGTGGCTTGCGGGTGACAGTTTCTTCAACTTTAGTTGAACCGAGTGTGGC